GAAGGTCTGGCTTGCAGTTTTCACTCTGTTCTGTCTACATATATATATGCGCCTGTGTGTGTGTGTGTGTGTGTGTGTGCGTGCGTGCGTGCGTGCACGTGCCTGTGTAGGGGTGACTTCTGTGGTTGCATAAAGACATGATGAGAAAATGGCTCTTGGCTCACAGTTTACAATGAGCTCAGTAAATATTTCCCTGGTGAGTTTATGGTCTCTATCTATTATTGGAAGCCTTGCTAAACAGAACATTAAGGTTTTTTTTAATTATGGAGAAAAGAGAAAAGAGAGAGAGCTAAGTTTACTCAGAGCTGGAGAAAGATATTGGATCTATATATGATGTGTTTTGATAAATTATGTATTTTTCACTTTGTGAAGCATCCTGCAGAACAAGCTATGGTATACTAACTCTGTGTTATTCAAATGTGCATGAAAGTTCTGGGTAGTTTTGTTGCGGATGAACAGGTCAGTTTGTGTTAGTGTGATGAATTCACAGTGAAGCTCTGTGTTGCACAGTGGCTGTGGTGCTCATGATCAGAGTTGGGTTACATCAAGTGAAATAGAGATTAATTTAAAGCTGATGATCCTTGGATTAATTTGCTAATTTCAATCGTTATACTGTGTCTGGTATAAAGACAATGTACAATATACTGTTAGTGAGAGAAACAGAAGTAAGCCGAGTTAGCTGTGAAGCATCTGCTTACATCTTGTTGAATTCAGCTGTGTAAATCCACAAAGAGCAACTGGTCTGCTGATCACAGCATGCACACTAAGAAAATCTACTAAAGCTTATTTCTGTCTAGCCCTGGAGGCCTAATGTACTAATATCATAGTTGTATTATATTAATGTAGCAGAAGGTCCAATATGCAAAGAAATAGGTGGTGGAATTGTCCTTCAAGGAGATACTTTTTGCTTTCTTACTTTGAGTACACTTCAGAGCCTGTACTTTTTCACTTTTACTTGAGTAAAGACAGTGATTCAGCACTTAAACTTATTGGAGTATTTTACAGGTCTCTGTACTTTGACTTAGGTGCAGAGTTTGTGTACTTTTGTCACCCCTGCTCATAAAATCCATCACTGGAACTGGACAACACAAATATCTTGAATATTTTAACAGAACCCTGTAAAGGTTTAGCATCTGTTTTTGGTATATTGGTAACCATTAAGGTGAATAAAAGTGCATCACACACCGATGCACTGATGCAAATTGCTATCAAATGAACTGTCGTTTTGTTCATTAACGCGAGGAAAGCGTTGACGAGGAGGAGCTTTATTTTGAAAGTAGTGGCCGGATGTTGTGTTTGGTGGGGATGATTTGACGCTGGGGAAGGCAGCGCTGCAGTGCGGACAAACAGCCTGGAGCCGGAGAACCTGACACCTGCAGACCGTCCCTGTCAGCCGAGCCGGGTTGTCCTGAGGCGGGTTTCGGGATCTGGTTTTGTCCTGAGTTGGAGTTTAGGATCACATCCAGGAGTAGGCAGAGAGGACCAGTCCGCATCCTCCTCCTCAGCTGATGCAGCGGAGAATCGGAGGATGATCCGGACGTCAGCGTGGATTTTATTGCGCGTTTCGGGGCTCTGAGCGAAAATAAAAGCTGCTTTTGTGTGTATGTGTGTTTTTTTTTATTTTCATTTTAATTAATTAATTAATTTATTTATTTATTCTTTGGACTCTGCCTTGGATGGGACTAACGGTCTGAGGATGGACCGTGTCTGGTTTGATATGAGGCACCTTTGTAGAAGAAATAAATGGTAATTTAATCCTGCGGAACCCTGAGGCCCAAATTCTGGCCCCACGTAAGAGGAACGGTGGGTTTTCTGGATCAGGACGTTTTGTGCCGAAATAAAATCCCAGATGAAGATTCCCAAAAGGCGGAAAAGGAGCGGACGGTGCGCCAGGTAGGCCTGATCCGCACTAGCTCTCTCGGCCCATACAGAAATCATTCAGTGGGTGTGAGTGTTTCGCAGAGATACGTATAACGAAAGTGGCATGATGGTAATTAGACCAGGACCGACGGGGGCTCTACAACTGTAATTATATTTATATTTAATTCAGAACTTGTCCAGGCCACATTGATTGATCAGCAGGATGTGATGGTGCGCATGCGCACGGAGCATCCATGACTGTGCACTGCAGAGAAGAGATATATACAGAGGGGGGGAAACGGGGTGGTAGTGGGGGGTTAGACCTAAGCGGAAGCTGCATTCAGTGTTTAAGTCATTTAGTCCAGGATTATTTTCCATAGCATAAAGAATATATATCTAGTGGTTGTTCTGTGAAGACCAAATATATATGAAAAACAAAATAAAACTGTCTAATATAAAGAATATTTACAGTATGCTGTTAGCGACAGAAACGGAAGTCAGCCGAGATAGCTGTGAAGCATCTGCTTACATCTTGTATAAATCCACAAAGAGCAACTCGTCTGCTGATCACAGCATGTACACTAAGAAAATTTACTGGAGCTTGCATTAGAAATTATTGTGAGTTGTTGGTTATATTATTATATTTATCTAGGTGTGGAGACAAAGTCACTGTGCACTGCAGAGAAGAGATGCACAGAGGGGGGGAAAGCACATGCTCGTAGTGGATGTTCTGTGAAGACCAAATATATATGAAAAGCAAAAAAGGCAGTTCTTGAGAAAAGAAACAGACCTGCACTCTCTGCATGTTTTATTAGACCAGGCTTGGCGAGAGCTGCCATCCCTCTCTATCACTGTCAGAGCTTTTCTTGCTAATGTAGTGTAATAAAACACAAATTTCTTGTTTGTCTTAAACAGGTAATGCTGCCACCGCCTTTGGTAAATCTGTTTGGTCTTCAGAGGTCAAGAAACAAACAAATACTTTCAAAGCAAAATCTTTATTTGAAATCTAATTCATTAAAATGACCATCTTTATTAGTCTTTATTCCACAATTTGCAGGTCGTTACCTCTCAGGACTCATGTATAACACAGCAAGCACTCAAACTCAAAGAGCCAGCGTCAGCTTGCCTTGATAGCTGCTCTCCCATCGACTGATCAGCGGTTTATCCACAGTGCGCATGTGCAAATCACCAAAAGAAGCTGCCGGTCTCTCAGCTTGCTCAGCTGGAGACAGATATGCCTGTAAAATGAAGACGGCTAAAGTTTACTATGAGTTTGAAACAGTCAGAGCTTTCAATGACAGTAGCTGACTGTGGCCACAAGATGCAATGTAAAGGATGGATGCAAACCATACAAGGAGCTCCATGACAGATGAAAGGAGAGAAACTGCTTTGACAAAACAAGCTTGTCCTAGTGATATGCACAAGTGTCTTTAAAAGAAAAAGAAAATATATATATATATATATATATAGTCGCAAAAGTATGACGTCACAACAAGGTGATTGGTCACTTGCAATGTTGAACCTGAAACAACATTTATTATGATGATGTGGGAACAACACCGACATGAGGATATCATGTTGTTATGTAACTCTGTTTAGACTTGGGACCATCGGCTCATAGAAACACTAAAGGTCCTGTTTAATCTCAACATTTATACGCAGTGAATATGACACTGTACTGTGATCTCATGTCATATTAACCTGAATACTTTAAGCTTAGTTTTAAAAATTCTGTATTGTCAGAAAACTCACAAAAGATCATCATCAATAGAATTCCTTGCAGGTGCAAAGAAAGTGTCTGTTAATTGTTATACTGACTCTGTGAGGTGGACCTTTGGAGGTGCAGAAGTTCAAAATGCAGGAAACTGTAGCAGCTTATTAGCTGCGTTCCACCATCATTTCCATTGTGAACTAATGGAGTTGCTAAAAGTTGTGTGAACCTTTTTCCAAACAAATTGTTTAAAAAAACAAAGGCTCGTGATTGCAACTGGCACAGCAAGAAGTGCATTGTAACAGGAGTTTCTACCTTTTCTGTTGTCTATAGGGGCACATTGATAAATTACTCTGGGCTATACACTGTTTTCACTGTAGGAGTCTGAAAACAAAGTTTTTAGTCTATGAAGGGTTTAAAGTGCTGGAGTTGGAGAAAATTAAACAACCCACCACTGAGCAACATGACTGTTGTTATACATGGCTGATTGTTGCAACCAGCAAGTGAACTTGGGACAAGATTGACACGGTAAATGAGTACAGTTTTTCGCATGTTAGATTATTTCGCTGCTTCAAGTTTTCAAGGTTAACATGGTGTATATAGGCCCTTTGTACCTTACCCTCCTATTATGTCTGGTCAGAAGACTGCAGCACTCACTGCTTCTTCTCTCCTGGTTAACTGTACCCTCTGTTTTGGCTTGTAGGCTAACAAAGGAACAGGAAGGGTTTTGCCACACTCAGGATTTGTTGTAAATCTTAAGGTTTTCCAGGAGCTCAGAACTATGGTGAGCTCTGACCAATTTTATCCGATTCAGACTGGAATGATGCAAGCCCAGCTTCTGGCAGAGCACCCCTCCCTGTCCCACCCACTAGCAGATTAATAGAGCTGTAGGTGACGAAGGAAGAAAAAAAGATTGAGGTTTAATAAAAGGTCTGTCTCTCCAATCTGCTGCTGAGACGCTTGAAAACAGCACAGTTCTCTCTTTTACACTTATTTCATGCCGCAGTGCAGATTATTAGTGTTAATGTAAATAGTTAAATGCTACGGCGAAAAAGTCAGACATAAGACAATGTTGTATGTATGACATATGATGGTACTATTTGATAACTGGCTGGTGATAGTAACCTATTCAGATCATTCAACAATATCTGACAAAATAATGGTATAGCTTCATATAATAAATATAGCATAATGTCATTTACGTATTTAAGTTAATTGTACCAAATCTAAAGTATACCATGAATACTATAGTAATGTATGCTTTGTATCTGGTAATAACATACCACTGTGCATCACATAGTGCTTTTGATAGTATATTTCCAAAATGGATTTTGTTACACATTGTCTGTTCTCATAGTCTGTAGCAATATATTTGACTATGGCACTATAATAACACGTAATGCATAGTATCGCAATTCTGATTGGCCATTTGCTCTGCACTGTGCTTACTGTCGTCCAAGACTATTCCAGTGTATCCGGGGAGACTGTGTGGTCCCACCCTCTGCAGTGATTGGTGGCTCAGCAGTGTGTTGAGGCCTGCAGCAGGTTTCCCTACCTCTCCAGTGTTACAGTGACTCCCAGCTGCCTGGTCTCTGTGCAGCTGCTGCTGTTAAACAGATCTGTATCACTGTAGGTGCAGAGAAGCCTCCTCCCCACCTTCCCAGTCTGTCCAGTTTTCTATCAGAGTTGGCCTGACTGAAAATGCAGTGGTCACGCTCCCTTATTATCTGCAGTCCGCCTGAGCTCTGCATGCACTGATGAAAGCCCATGGCATTGCATGCAGAACAGCATGGTTTGGGGACTCACATGTATCACTCTGAACTTAAGATTTCTTCTATGGATCCACTGAAAGCTGATAACCATTCATGGCAGATATCCTGTATAAAAGCAGAGAAAAGCCAGAGTTCTGTTCAAGTTGAATGGCTGGAGAACACTAAGGTAATGGCTGACTACATGAATTAAGTTTTTGGCAGTGCCTGTTAGACTGATGGTCAGTGAGCTGACAATATTTAACAGGGGAACCACATCCTCCAGTCACTACTGTTAATGAACTGTGTTGCCTAATTCAGACTTATCACCTCCTGAAGCAGTTCACTGCTTTGACAGTGCAACAATTAACTCAGCATCGATGAGTCCCTGCACTGTTTGCAGGTCTGTCCCATTTGCAATGATCAAAGCATGGTTGAATCTTGCAATAATAACAGGTGATATTGTATCAAACAGACAAAAAGATCTGTAAGGATTTGTTTTTCCTGGAGTAGTTTTCTCAGGCAGCGCTCACTCTGAGGTTGTGCCCAACAAGATCTTCCTAGTCTCATGAAACTGTTGCTAAGCTTAAACGCAAACACATCCGGCGCATTGTCATATACCTCATTCCAATTGTGTGATTTATGGAGTTTTTGAGAGCAGTACTGCCAACCCTTATTTCATTTCCTAAGGTCAACTTGGATAGTTTCTTTGAGAAAAAAAGAGTTTTTTGACCCAAACAGTAGATCATGTTATTAGTAACTGCATTATAAATTATTCTGGCAGTCCTATATGTGTGTATGTGAGAGAGAATTAAACACAGAAGGGGAAATAGATAAGTTTTATAGATTCATTTTTATTACCTAAAAATGTCTATTACTCCAAATGTTAAACGACCACTTAAAGTAATGCAGTTTGCACATATTTCTTAAAATTGAAGTGAAAAGTGTTCCCATGCCATACTCGTGGTTGTTAGAATTTGTTGTTGATTAAAAACCAGCTTGTTCTGATCTACAGTAAACATTGCAAGGTGTTGGCTGTTGGGCTGTTGCAGCATCTGACCTGCAGCTGCAGTCAGGATAAGAATAGAGCATTCGACTGCTTCCTCTGCAGACATGATATTTGCTCCAGTTACTGCAAATACCATCACGCCATATGTCCGTTTAGGTTCTTAGTCATCCAGGTCATGGTAGTCTTCAGAGCTTGAGAAAACAAGGCAACTGGACCGCTTTAGGTTTGCAAAGATGTTTCCCCTCTCTTCTGAGAGAACTAAAGAAGCTTCTTGGAGAGGTGAAACATCTTCTCAAACCTAAAAAGGTCCAGTTGCCTTTTTTTCTCAGGGTCTCAAGATCACGCCATACCCAACCCCTCTTGCACCCCGCACCCCACTGACCTGTACCCCGATCCAGCTGAAGAATGGCTTCTAATGGCAACCAGCCACCTCTAATGCCTGTTGTTATAATAATAATATAATAATGTTGCCATGACTGTCAGCAGCAGAGAGCTCTGGTTAGACTGGGAAAATCCCAGTAACAACATTGTGTGTATAAAGTATTGACTGTCTTTTCTTACTTCCTTTTTCTCCTCTCATCCTCCCTGCTCACAGATAAATGGCTCTTTTAAGTTGGGAGCTGCTCGTGTTCTGTCTAGCTGGCAGATGCAGTGCCTAGTCCCTGGCCTCCAGGACAACGCCAACATGAACGGGACATCCGAGCAGGCCGACATCCTGCCTCCAAACTGCATGGTCAAGGATCGATGGAAAGTGGTGAGTCTGGAAAGCTCCCATTCCCCCAGTTCAGTTTCACGTTCTGCAGTAGTGCGTTTGAAAGATTTGGGTGTCTAATTTCCCCCGTACAATTTTGTATTTATATTTTCTTAGCTGGTATGCATATTTGTTAACTGTTTGCTATCTATTCTGATTTCATCCAAACCTTCTTTCCCCAAAAATTTTAAATATAAATAAAACAGAATCCAATCCTGTATTCAACTGACAGCAGTACAAGGCTAATGTTAAACTATGCATGTAGCATTTTGCATTACATTTTATTTGATTAGTACTTGGGAGCTGAGGAGACCAGCAAGAATTAGAAGCAAAATATCACGTATCATTTAAATGTAAGCTTTTTCCATGTATGAATGATACATGATACACAGTAAACCATTTTTAAACAAATTTTATCCTTTGTTCTGATTTTATTTTCATACAAAAATGTCTGTATCAGGATCAGAATATGTTCTGTTGTTCTGGTTGTGATAAAAAAAATGAAATCCCAAAGAAAAACACAAATCCTTTATAGACGATATTAAAAAGATTGTCGAATCACTGATGCCTCATGTTCAGCTGAATAAATTGACATTTAAACTGGCAAAGAATTCAAACATTTAAACTTGAGGGTTTAGTGGAAAGACAAACTTTTTTATTTTCTGTTTGAGCTTCCTTTGGATTCTGAAGTACAAGGTTGCTTAATATAGCTCGTGTCTCAGCCAGTCAGGTTGCAAAATAAAGGCTGTTTGCACTTTACTAATCAATCTACTGTCTCCACTGAGCTGCAAAGACCCAACACATCATGAACTAAAGATAAAAAAGTCTTTTTGGAGGTTACAGTATGTTACTTTAAGATAATTAAGAGCTGCCCTGCAACCTGTGTTCCAGCTAAAGAAGATTGGCGGGGGCGGGTTTGGGGAGATCTATGAAGCCTTGGACTTGCTTACGCGGGAAAATGTGGCCCTAAAAGTGGAGTCAGCCCAGCAGCCCAAACAGGTGCTAAAGATGGAGGTGGCAGTGCTGAAGAAGCTGCAAGGTAAGCGCTGCCAAACCATCTCCTACACTGATTGCTTTGGGCCAGGGGTCCACAGTGGAGGTGATTAGGTTTAATTATTAGGAAACCATAACTGACTGCAAAGACGTTGTTTATACAAGCTTCCAGTTGTGGAATTGTTAGTGAGTAGAATTCAAGAATGTTTTTTTAGGTCCAACTTGAGCCCCTTTTATCTTCATCACATAAGGTGTTTTTAGCAGCAGGGCGGTGACCTTTCAAGAGTCTTTGTCTTGTAACCCTCGTATGCTGCTACATTCCCTCTTCAGCTTCACACTTGGTTGTCTTGGACTTGTGTTTCACTTTGTTCCTCTGATTTTCTGTGAACTGTTACCAGTACATCTACAAGCTGGCACTGAAGTGGCAGGTGAAGTGGTGGGAATGGGAATTAGTACCTCCAAGTCTGAGGCCATAGTCTAAGCCAGTGGTCCCCAACCCCCGGGCCTCGGTCCGTGAGTCGTTTGGTACCGGGCCGCGAGAGTTGAGGCTCAGGTGTGAAATGTGTGGTTTTCAGGGTTTTTATCGGTTTTCAGCGTTATTTTGTTATCGTTTTATCGTTAATTCGGTTTTCCTGGGTCTTTTCACGTGTGTTATGAATAAATCTTCTTTTTTTCAGTACCGGTACTAGTTTTATTTTGTTGTATTTATCTGCGACACCTTAAAGGCCGGTCCATGAAAATATTGTCGGGCATAAACCGGTCCGTGGCGCAAAAAAGGTTGGAGACCGCTGGTCTAAGCCAAGAAAGGGTGGGGTCCCCACTTCAGCTCAAGGACAAATTGCCTCCCCAGTTTAAGTTGTGTCGTGGGTGTCGCGTGACGATTTTCACATCACATCCTGTGTCATCTTTGTGGCGTGTCGGACGGCTTTTTGATTTTTGTAACTTGTGCATTGTGTTGCAGTCGTCGCAGCTGGCTTAAAGACACAAGTGTATGATCATCCTGCCTATTTAATCAGAATCCTGCACAAAAGCTCAAAGAAACACTGACACACAGAGAGATAACGCAACAGTTTGAAAACCTGAGTTTGTGGAAACACTTGACTTCTGCTTCTCCTTATCAGCACGTATGACGTGATATTGTCTGAGTGACTATTGTCTACTGAATACTTAAACATCCGTGTGATAATGGTGCGTTTTTAACAAAGCGATCACTGTGGAGGGTGTATTGGCACTTTTATAATCTCTGAAAAATAGGATAGCCCTTTATTGTGATTGTATATGTTCAACAAACTTTGGGTGTTCCACACTAACTGTGCAGATATTAAATATGAATAGTAAACAGCAGGTTTAAAAAAAAACATGAGAAACACACACAAATATATTTCTCACTGCTCACCGCCACGCCTGCATTGCACAGATGCAGCCATTTATACCCGCTATTAAGGTGCAGGAAGCCTCTGCTGTATTCTCCTAAACAACAGGTGTTGCCACTCAGACAACATCGTACGCACTGATGAGGAGAAGTCAAAACTAGAAGCCAAGACTTTGTCGAGTGTTATTTTGTAAAGTTCTCTCCACAAACTCAGGTTGTTCTGTTTTTAATTTATTTTTTCAGTGTTTATTTGATAGAAAGAGTAAAGAGTGACAGGAAAGTGGAGGGGGAGAGAGGGTAAGACATGCAGCAAAGGGCTGCGGGTCAGATTCGAACCTGGGGAGGCTACTCCCAGCCGCACGGCACCTGCTCGTCGCAGTGAGTTAAACCAGCACCCACAAACTCAAGTTTTAGTATGTCTCTGAGCTTCTGTGCAAGATTCTCAGTAAACACACGATTATACACCCATTGTGTCTATTGTGTCTAGCGACGCAGGATTTGATGTGAAAATTACACCACTACACAAGCAATGTGGCGAGCATAAAAATGGCCTTACGTTGGTCTGCTGTGGTGATAGCTGTTGATTTACTGATCAGTTTGCATTCCTACCCTCCACTGTGGTTGCAAGCTTTGGCTAGAGCTTTCTCCGAAGTGTGGCTGGCAAAGAGGATGAGAGGGGCTCAAAATAGAGGCACTATTCCTGCACATTGAAGGAAGCCAGTTAAGGTGGTTCGCATATCTGATATAGATGGGCACCTCCTGGGTCAGGAGCTTTAGGCATGGGAGAGTAAATCTCTCAACTGGCCCAAATAACGTGGAGGAAATGGCTATTGAAACATAAAATAGATACATCTCTGTTTTAATTTAATCCAATATGTAATTTTCAGGGTGCTAAATATATAAGTCTTTGTAAATCAAATTATCGAATTGTTTATTAGCCTCCTCTTGCTTCTTTTTCCCTTCCAGGGAAGAACCATGTTTGTAAGTTTATTGGCTGTGGGAGAAACGACAAATTCAACTATGTCGTCATGCAGCTTCAGGTGAGTCACTGTCTGGATGCATGTCAACCACAGTCTTTTACTGGGAAGCATAACAGTGTAGAGGGACACATAACACACAGTAATAAGGTAGATTATTTCTTTAGCATTTAAAAAATTCTTCTTGTTGCTGTCATGTTAAGATCTAACAAATGTATAGGTTTTGCAGTCTTAAAAAAACCTTTACCTGCTGGAGTGCAATTACATTAATATAACTCCTGCTTCAAGGATTCAGCATTTGGTATTTTGACTTCCTGCAATGTAACCAGAAAAAATACATAAAATAATGAGGATAAGTGTAATTGACCTTTAATAAAGTCATAGCCAGAATGCAAACAGATGAATTTCCTGGTGACAACCTTTTAATGTTGCCTTTGCTGATAACAGCACAGAACAGTCCCAATTTATGTGAACCTGGTGTATTTCTCATTACTGTTGCCACTGTGTCTCCTATGAGTCATATCCAGTTTTGCATTTTCCACGTTATTATTAGATTACTTTTTTGAAACTTGATCGTTACACATTTCAGCCTGACTAAAAGAAGCAGAAATTAAGTCCCGCTGTCTTGTCACTGTCCCTCACCCAGGGTCGTAACCTGGCTGACCTGCGAAGGAGTCAACCCAGAGGAACCTTTACCATGAGTACCACCCTGAGACTTGGGAAGCAGATCCTGGAATCCATTGAAGCCATCCACTCAGTGGGCTTTCTGCACCGCGACATCAAACCGGTACAGATTTCTTGAAAAATTCTGCAACCTTGTGCTTCTCCTGTAGACTGAGTTCCTGGGTTAAAAGTGATTTTAGGTAGAGATTATTTACTGATATTAACTTTTGATTTTTCTTGCCCAGATGTGTCAAAATGGTAATGAATGCTTTTCCCCTAAGCTATAGTTTTCTGCAGGTCCATGAGCTGGTTGAGCATTATTGATTAGTGTCTGTAATACCAGCAGAACAGTCCAAATGTCTGCAATTTGGTAACAATTTAATATAAGTAGCTAAAAGTTTCTCAATTTAAAACGTCTATCTGGTTTCAGGTGAACTTTGATACTTTAGATCTTTAGGTAATCTAAATATCAAAGCAAGCCAATAAAACCAGAACAGAAGGGGTGTTAATAGGATGTCGGATGAATAGATTTTTATGTAAATGAGCAGAGGTAGAACCAAAGTTAGAGGACCCATACACCCTTCACGTTTCTTGTGTGCAGATGCTTTTAGATTAAACTACTGTGTTTTATTTCTGCAGTCAAACTTTGCAATGGGACGGCTCCCCTCCACCTACAGGAAATGCTACATGCTGGACTTTGGTCTGGCAAGGCAGTACACCAATACCACAGGAGAGGTCCGCCCGGTAAGACACTTTTAGTCTGTGAAAGCGAACCAAAGCTGAAGCACAGCACTGAAGCTCATCTATTACAGTGGAGATGTTGTTGGAGAGAATATTTATAACTCAAGGTTCATTTGCTAGTTTTTGCTAGTGTTTTTTCAAAGAACAGCAATTATTATAATAAAGTCACTAGAGGTTTGGAGAATGTATGGAGAATTATTCCTGCGTATTGGATGTTAGGGAAAAAAAATAATCAGAGGTAGGACATATATCCTTATTTTGACTCTGCGTATACTCCAAACCTAAAACTAAACGGACAACACAATAAATTCTGAACCTGATCAGGTTCAATCATATTTTTTTTAAGTAATTTCTCAAGCATCATTTTTTTAGCGTTTTCTTACAACTTTGTTATTTAATTTCTTATTGTGGTCCTATACACAACACATATGTCATTTCTTTCTGTGTTAGGATTCAAATTTATTGTCATTACACAGGCATAAATACAGGGTAACAAAATACAGTAGGCATCTAATCACAAGTGCAAGAGCAGTGAGTGCAATAGGAGCAGATTATTATTAGATTATATAAGGGTAGTGTAAAAGGTGGGAATAGTTATGAACAGATTATGTACAAATAAGTCAAGTACACAGATGTTTATATTGCTATACAGAGAGCAAATGTACAGATGTAGTTATGTATACATATGTACAGATATGTACAGATGATCTGTATAGCATACAGACAGATATACAGATGTATCAATGTGTGGTAAATATATGTACAGTAGTGGGAGCATAGTGCTATGAACAGACTATAATAGTGAACAGTGTACGCACTATAACAGAGACTATGCTATATCAGTGTCCTAAACTATAGCAGTAACCAATATCAGATAGTTTCCTTTAAAGCTGCAAAAAATACCAAAGTAAATAATAAAAACTACACAGGTGCCCAGACTGAGGCAGACAGATGGGTGTGTTTGCTGCACTGCAGTACATTCCCTCTCATTTCCTGTGAGTCTGTACAATATCGGATCAATGATTCGCAGTACTCAATAACAAATCTCAGGGATTCATGTGGTAGTTTGCTGTAAACTGACAGAAGTGGTTGTTGGGCTTCTATCAGCTTTTGTATCGATCAGGTCTTTTGGTATTTGTAGTTTCAGTGTGATCAGACACAGCTGCTGCTTTTAGGCTCTCTCTTGCTTTTTTGTCTCTCTACCACACTCAACACGGCTATTTTTAGATCAGCGAGTATGCATAGTGCTTCCATTTGCTGTCAGCTTGCTCCTCTTCACTTTATCTCCTTACTTTCATTTTTTTCTCTCTTCCTCCTCTCCTCATCCTGTTATGCCCCCTTGTTCCTTACCTCTCCTCACCTCTTCATCTTCACCAGCTCCCCTGTTCTTCTCCTGCAGTGTTGTGTTCCTTCTGTTGCAGCAGTCAATGAATATTTGATGCTGTAAAATGCGTCACTGGGTGAGAAACGTTAGCCCCCCCTCACACACTTTCTCTCTGTCACTTCCAGTCTCTCCACCCATCATCTTTTGTCTCCCAGTCTCTCTCTCTCATTCTACAGCTGAGTCAGCTTCAGTGCAGTGATCTGAGCTCGCTCTTTCTCACTTGATTCACCCCTCCCCCACTGTATCTTCCTGCCTTGCTTCCTTCTTTCCCCATTACCCCCTCTCTTTAACCAACCCGTTGTCTCTTACATAGAGAGAATTGGGCACTGATCAAAGAAGAACTCATTCAAGCAGAAACATCTGTGTTTTAGCAACAGCAACGTTCTCAGTGTTTTGTCTTTTCACCAGAACTTGCAATGTCCTAACCCTGAGTCTCATTGACTACAACATGATGGTAATTTTGTAAATCATGGTACCCTATAATGTCCAGATTTGGGGGTTGGTGTACCTGATAAGTTGCTACCATATGTATCTCTTGGTTTCTAAGTCAGAGCTACCCCTCCTATCTGGTTTCATAACACCCAGAAGACAACAACAAAAAACACCCAGCTGAGACTTCACCTACTTACAGATGCAGTGTATGAAGTACACTCAGTAATTTCTCAAAAGCGTCATTATTGTTTGCAACAGCTCTTGTGTGTCCAACACTCATTGTGGGACTGTTAGCAGAAAGTTGTCATCACATCTTCAACACATCCACGTTTTTAGCCAGACCTACCATACATTAATTTTCTAAAATTTGACACTTGATCTGAAAGTGAACATATCCTGATGAAACGTCTTGATGCATTCTCAATCATCCAGGAAAATAAATCTCCAAAAGTTGATTCTGTTCATCTGGACGTAGCGTTACGTAGCGTTATGTCCAGATGAACAGAATCAACTTTATTCAGCACAAGCTTTATTTTTTCATCTTGACTGTTGAGGTTGCTACGTAGTGACAACATTTTTCACTTGCGGTGTTTGGAAACTAAAGTATGTTGAGTGAAGTAGAATGAACCGGTTGTCCAGTGAGGCAACCTGTCCAGCTGCTTGTGGATCAGGTCACTCTTTACTGTGAAATGTTGTATGATGTTCACTCTCTACTGATCACCTGCCATCAGTTTTTTTATCAAAGATTTATGTTCTGATTTTTTTCTTGTTTTCTTCTTATCAGTTCAATGTGATTTATGTTCACCTTTTTTATGTTTCAGTGTTGTGTTTGTCTTTCTTACAGTTCCTTTGGATTTATGATTTTGACGTGCATGCCTCCTGTTTCTCCATCATCTCCATGGTTACCCAGGGATGTGAGTGGTTTCTATAGTGACAGATGGGTCACAGCCACATCGAAAGCTACGCACCAAAGTGAAAGCTGAATTAAAAAAGAAAAGGAGCAAACATGACATAATGTCTACTAAGAGTTTTCTAAAATCCACATATAAAAATAATCACGATCGTTACAATAACTGTAATGAACTGTGAATGTGCTAGAAGCCCTACCAGAAAATGGTCTGGCAGCACAGAGAATTTAGGCACTAAATTATACAACTTGTACTTGAAAGTGAAATTCAGATTTGATTTTTGTCCGGGAAAAAAAACCCTAGATGGTGGACAAAAACCTAAGTATACGGTAAGTCAGTTCTATAAACTAAAAAAGGACACAATATAAATTGTTTTTTCAAATTTATGTAGGTCATGAAGCCATCTTTATTTTTAATTTCTGTTTTTATGGGTATTTTAATTTGTGTATTTCTACTTGTATTCATGAGTTTCCCTCCCATGTAAGGTAGGACATTATTAAAAGAGAAAATATCATGAAGATTTTATGTAGGGCACCAGATAACAATTTTTTGCACATACATGAAAACTTTGATGGGCTCGTCAGTGATATTTGAGGGTTCGATATCTTCCCCAAGGACACTTTGACATACAGACAGCAGGAGTTCCATCTTCTGAGTAGAAAACAACCTGTTTAGATCATGAGAAATAAAAAAACCAAGAAAATTTGTGAATGCCATAGATGACAATTGAGTCAGTGAGGAGTATAATGGGCCCATCCAGGAGAAACAACTGATAATACAACACCTAGTACAATGTGAACTACTAAATCCTATGTCCCTTTCTGCAAATTACTAACAAAAATGTCAGGGTAGTTTCAGACTTCTACTTATTTAAATGTGTATAACTTAAAACTTAGACATTCATAAAAAAAGAGTGTAGTTCACTTTATGTTTTTGTTAACAAGTAACTTGAAAATGGTCACTGTCTTCAATTTTCAAATGTTAAATGGACTTTTATCCACCTGTCAAGTACAGTGGTGTGAAAAAGGTGTTTGGCCCTTTCCTGTTTTCTTCTTTTTGTCACACTTAAATGTTTCAGATCATCAACAAAAAAATAAGACAACGATAACATCAGTAAACATAAAATGCAGTATCTAAATGAAGGTGTTTATTATTAGGGGGAAAAAATCAAAACCTAAATGGCCCTGCTTGAAAACTTGGTTGGGCTGCAGCAACAACTGCAACGAGCAATTGTGATAACTGGCATCAAGTCTTTTACAGCACTGTGGAGGAATTCTGTCCCATCTTTGCACAACTGTTGTATTCCAGCCACACTGGAGGGTTTTCGACTATGAACCACCTTTTTAAGGTCATGCCACAGCATCTTACTTGGAGGTCATGACTAGGCCACTCCAAAGTCTTCATTTTGTTTTTCTTAAGCTTTTGTGTTTTGGCTGGTTTGCTTTGGATCATTGTCCTGCTGCAGAACCCAAGTGCGCTTCACCTTGAGGTCACAAACACATGACCAGACATTGCCCTTCAGGATATTTTAGCAGACAGCAGAATTAATGTTTCCATTTATCACAGCAAGTCTTCCAGATCCTGAGGAAGCAAAACATCCTCAGACCATCACCACCATATTTTACTATCGGTATGATGTTCCTTTTCTGAAATGCTGCATTACTTTTATGCCAGATATTTGTCATATCAGTCCACAGAGTATATTCCCAAAAGTCTTAGGGATCATCAACATGTTTTCTGGCAAAACTGAGACAAGCCTTTGTGTTCATTTTGCTTAGCAGTGGTTTTCGTCTTGGAACTCAAATGGCCACAAAGGCCATTTCTGCCCAGTGTCTTTCTTACGGTGGAGTCATGGACACCGACCTTAACTGAGGCAAGCGAGGCCTTTAGTTCTTTGGATGTTGTTCTGGGATCTTTTGTGACCTCTTGGATGAGTTGTCACTGCGCTCTTGGGGTAATTTTGGTTGGCTGTATACTCCTGGGAAGGTTCACCACTGGTCCGTGTTTTTGCCATTTGTGGATAATGACCCCGACTGTGTTTGGTTGGAGTCCCACAGCTTTAGAAATGGCTTTAAAACCTTTTCTGGGCTGAGAGCTCTCAGTTACTTTGTTTCTCATTTCTTCCTGAATTTTCTTGGATTGTGGCATGATGTCTGGCTTTTGGGGAGCTTTTGGTCTACTCCACTTTGTCAGGCAGGTCCTTTTTAAATTGATTTCTTGATTGAGAACAGGTGTGGCAGTAATCAGGGCTCGGTATGTCTAGAACAACTCAACTTAGCTTTGGAGGTTGATCAAGCCTTAAAAGCTGGTGCTACTAATTCCTACAGGTGTTCTAACTTTTCTAGATTACTTACAACCCCCTCTGTCTGTATAAAAGCAGTGGTGGAACACACTGTGGTACCATACCCATGTGAGCTTTAGTTGAACAATACTGTACGGCAAAAAGTAGTGTGTTGCCACAAAGATGGCAAGAAAAAGAAAATTAACAATGGAAGAGAGACAAACCATCATAGCACTTAAAAGAGTATGTCTTTTCTACAGAGAAATTGCAAATAAAGTCAAGGTGTCAGTGAGTATAGTTTCCTTCATCATCCAAAGGCACTCAGAAACAAACTGACAGCAAGAGGTCTGACAGACCCAAAGACACAACTGATTCAGAGGACAAGTTTCTGAGAGTTAACAGCTTGCTTTATAGGCGGCTCGCAGGGCAACAGCTTTGAGCACAGCTTAGTAGTGGTCGTATAAGCAAGTCTCAGTTTCAACTGTGAAAATAAGACTTCAAGCTGCAGGTTTGACAGGATGAGTTGCAGCAAGAGAGCCATTGCTAAGACGTGAGAATAAAACAAAGGGACATGCCTGGACACCGCCATTGGACTAATCTTTGATTCATCATTCAGGATCTTTGTACACCGTCGAGTAAGCGTGAGGATGGTTCCACAGTGTGTGGCATCAACTGCCAAATGAAGGAAGGAGGAAGTGTGATGATCTGGGGCTGTTTTGCTGGATCCAGGGTCGGTGACTTGTACAGAGTGAAAGGCACCCTGAACCAAAACAGCTACCACAGCATTCTGCAGTGCCGTGCAGTACCCTCTGGTATGCACCTAGTTGGTCAGGGGTTCATCCTACAGCAAGATAATGACCCGAAACATAAGTCCAAGCTATACCAGAACTACCTCAGGAAGAAATAACATGATGGTGAGCTTGAAAACATGAAGTGGCAGCACAGTCTCCAGACTTAAACCCCATCACTTCTGCAACAGATACGTGAACAACTTTCTGAAGAATATTTGATTTCTATTGTAGAAAGAATGCCACGGGTGTGTTCAGCTGTTATAGCTGCCAAAGGTGGCTGCTTTGATGAGTCAAAGTTTAGAATATATTTTGGTCTATAAATTGATTCCATGATTTCTTTTTTAACTCCAATTGCTTATTTGCACTATGCTTTCATTTCAGAGTGCAACGGGCCAATACACTGCATAGTTTTCAATAAAAATTTGGAAAAACTTGTGTGTTCTTAAACTTTCATCCTGTAGTGTAGGTTTGGATTTTTTTGACTCTTAACAATAAACACCTTAATTTAGAAACTGCATTTTGCGTTTATTTCTGTTATCCTTCTAATTAATTGCTTTTTCATGTCACTGTATTAAGTTATCGGCTAGTAGGTGTCTTGCTTCTGTGTGGCAGAAGTACTTTTTTATGGTGAGACTAAAGGCCCTTTCACAGCGGATGTGTGAAATCTCAAAAATTGAAAGTGTCAAGAATATTTTTCAGGCTCACCAAGTCAAGTATTCTTACTCATTAACACCACCAACACAAATTTGTGGCATTTATTTTTTCCAACCAAATCGATTTTTCCAATTTTTTGAATGAATAGATCTGACTAAGATCACTGTATTTGGCAACAGGTGCACTAATAGCACAAATCTTGCACCTTTACTGAGTATACAAGGATATGGTAATAGTAAAATGATACAATTGTGTTCCCAAATCTGCTAAAAAGACTTCAAACTGCCTCACTGACATCCTGAAATATGTATGAATGCAGCTCCAATTCTGGGATCAAGCCATAATATTCTCTAGCAGCCGCCTTCTTGTGGGAACTGGATGAACCCAGAATATCAGTTTGTTCCTTTTCTCGTTTAGCAACATCAGGACCAGTTTGTTATCCCTTCATTTAAACTTCATTTTTTTCTGTCTGTTTTTGAGGACGAATTTTCCACAAAAATACAACACGTTTGGTGTGTATATGGGTTACATGGGAATTTCATGTTGTTTTACACAACAAATTCAGTGTGCAATTGCCTTTAGACTAACTGTCCAATAAATGTATCGATAGAAAAGTACATAAAGCAATTCATTAATTGGTGGAAATCTAAAGACTCAAAGTTGAGTCATAAAAATGATTAAAAGTTAATTGTGTCTTTTTAAAAATGTATTTTTATCTCATATAGTTATTTATATAAACATATATACATAGATAAAGGCATTATGCAATCTACATATAATATCCAAACGCATAATCAGATTTTAACACTACTATTAAGAATAGGTCATAAAAAACAGCCCAAAAAACAAATTTGAATAATATTAAAGTGGAATTATGTAAATTGATACTTGCGTGTGCAGATCACTCTGATGCAGTGTGTTCGTCTGCTGGTGTCTTTGTGTCTTATTTTGCTTATTTTTCTTTTGATGTCAGGAACACGTGTATAAAGATCACATTGATGTTAAACAGGATGGCATCTGTTTCTTTCTAAAGCTCCTGTACTACAGAGTTATGTTGACACTGGGTTGAATGTTTGATGCTATATATCCACTTGATCGTTTTGTTTACAAGTTACATGTTTTTAATGATTTATTTTGTCACAATCCTTACAGTTTATTGTCATGCCAACACATAGGGTATGCTAAAGCCTGACCAGCACAATGTTGCTGTGAGTCAGCTGGGCACTACATTTCAGTTTGCCAGAAAGAGCAGCACGTGCCTCTGGATCAAGTAAACAGAAATCAACAACAATAACAACAACAACAATATAAACATAACACACAAATAGTTTGTAGAGGCTGAATCACAGTAAAATGGCTAGGCTAGTGGCTTCTTAACTGATATTACTGATTGTCTGTTTACACTATTTACATGCTCTTATTTGTACGTATTTATTATTTTGTCCATTTAGCCTTTACGTCTACACAGTAGTTCAGTAAGAGCACTTTCTGAATTTGTTTTTTTGCATGCACACCCTCTGCTGAAATACAGCACTTCAAAGTCCAGTGTTAAAAACATTTTTTATGTTTGGATTCAGCCGCAGCAAGCTACAAATAATATTTGATTAGTCTTATAGCCAAAACAAGCCTCCAGTCCATGTTGGCATTATTTACTGTTATGTGTGCCGAGTTAAATTGAAGTAGTGAGCATACCCAACTGAGAAGATAAGTAGGTTCAACTTCCAGTAAAATCAACAGCTCGAGGAAACTTTTCTCATCACAAGAAGAATGTTTTCCTCATAAAACAATTAATGAATAATAATTAAAAATATACAGTCAAGGTGTTAATAGTGTATGTAGCAGGTAAAGATTGGGAATCCCTCTCACCCTGCATAATAATTCACTCTCCTTTCAACAAAAAGATAACAGTGGTATGTTGAAAATAAATCAAATGTGAAAATCTGCAAAAATTACCCTTGTGTACCCTTGTAATTTTGATGATTTGAATGCATGTAACTGCTCAATAACTGCTTGATTACTTGCAACCCAAATTGGTTGGATTAGATCGTTAAGCCTTAAACTTCATAGACAGTTGTGTCCAATCATGACAAAAGGTATTTATGGTGGCCCATTGCAAGTTGTGCTTCTCTTTGACTTTCCTTTGAGAAGTGACAGCATGGGATCCTCAAAGCAACTCTCAAAAGAAGAAAACATTGCTCAGTATCATGGTTCAGAGGATAGCTACAAAAAGCTATCTCGGAGGTTTAAACTGTCCGTTTCAACTAAACCCAGGCCATGAAAAACACAGGAACGGCATAGGCAGAGGATTGTGAGAATGATCACCCCAAAAGACCTGGAAGAAGATCTTTCTACAGATGGTGCATCTGCAGCACAATTTGCTCAAAGAACATCTGTATGGCAGATTGATGAGTAAGAAGCCCTTTCTGCGCTCACGCATCAGAGTCAGTTGTTGTATGTAAAAGCTCAAACCAGATTCATTGTGCTTTGGACTGAGGAGACGAAAGGCTTTGCATGGCAGAAGAGGAGCACCCCTTTCTAAGAAAAACACCTGCTACCCACTGTCAGATTTGGTAGAGGTACCATCATGCTGTGAGCCTGTGTGATGAATTCAACCCAGTTCTTCAGGATAATGTTCAAGCAGCAGTCACAAAGTTGAAGTTGGCGTTGAATATTCCAACAAGACAATGACCCGAAGCACAGTTCAAACTGTAGAAAGGAGTAAGAAGTAGAATGTTCTTGAATGGTGGTCACAGTCCCCTGACGTGAATATCATTAAAAATCTATGGGATGATTTGAAGCAGACTGTCCATGCTTGGCAATTTAACGGAGAGATTTAGTATAAAAAAAATGGTCAAACATACCTCCATCCAGAATCCAGACACTCATCAAAGGCTATAGGAGGCATCTAGAGGCTGTTTGATTTGCAAAAGGAGGCTCAACTAAGTAATGATATATCTCTATTGGGGTGCCCAAATTTATGCACCTGTCTAATTTTGTTATGATGCATATTTAATCCAATAAACTTCATGTTATTGCTGAATCACTACTTTTTCCATAAGGCATGACATATATTAAAAGGAAGCCAATCACCCAATGATAAACACAAATTCAAAAAAATAAGAGAGATTCCCAATCTTTTTCATATTAGTGTAACTGGATGTGAACTGGATGCTTGTTGTTGCAAATGCTGACTTTTTTGCATCCTCTTTTTAGCCAAGAACTGTGGCAGGTTTTAGAGGGACCGTCCGCTACGCTTCAGTCAATGCTCACAAAAACAAGGTCAGTACTGTTTGTTTGTCTTTAAAGTAAAACCTCTGAGTTGGCTGCAGAGTTGGTGGTGAGCCTCTGTCAGCCTCTTGTACCCAGAAATGGTGCAAGAGGCTGGGAGAAGCAACGTGGATTTGTGAGGTAGAAGTTACCACTCTACCATCTACTGAAGAACACACTGTGGTAGAGGACCTTGGTACTCCCTAGCCCAGAGCTCTCAGTTCAAGTGCAAGAGACTGATCATTCTGCTCCTTTTTTATTGATAAACAAATATAACAAATATACAGATCAAATTGCAATCCGCGTTCTATATTTATATTTTTGCAGTTTTAATGATTATGCTCCTGAACACACAGCCAATGTGCAGATTTTGTTTACAAAAGTTGCTTCATACTTGTGAAAGATAAATGCAACTCAAGCTAGTCTGAGTTGATACTGAAACACCTAACCTTAATGCAATAAATATTCCATTAGATTACCTGTCACTCCACAACACCCTCTTAATTAGCGATTTTAATGACACAAGTCAGAATGTGAACATTGTGTTTAGAATGATATGCTAACAATGTCTTCCTGTTGTGCTCCTCCAGGAAATGGGTCGCCATGATGACCTTTGGTCATTGTTTTACATGTTGGTGGAGTTTGCTGTTGGGCAGCTGCCTTGGAGAAAGATCAAGGATAAGGTCAGAAGGTTTCTTGTTTCTAGTTTTTATATCCACCTTAGTTACTGTTACTTGTTTTGGTAGTGCCTCCATGAATCATACAAGATGTTAAACATATTTAATGTTTTGTCCTGCTTCTTTAAATACATCTATGCTTTAAAAAAGTCTGT